ATTACACAATATCTAGAATTTGTTTCAAAATAATTCACTGTGTGGTGGCAGGAGGAAATGCTTGGGGTGCGGAGATAGCTTGGTCATGCATTAATAACGTGTTAACTGTTAAAACCTTAGGTACTTAAGAGTTCATTATATTATTTTTTCTACTTGTGTTATCTTTAAAATTTCCTAATAAAGTGTTAAAGCCAGAAAAAGTAAAAGAGAGGAAAGGAGGAAGAGAGGAAGGGAGGTCATCTCAAGCAAACTGCATTAGAAAAAGGAACAAATGTGACACTTGAAAGTGAAAGTAAGTCAGAAACGTGGATCTGAAAACATTAACCATTTGTTCAACATGCACTAACACCATTAACATAATGATATCCTACAACTTATCTACCTTTAAAAATATTTTATTTTCATTAGTATAAAAATAAAACAAGTATGTGGTTAAAGAAAGATATATGGATATAGACAGAGATATATAAAATTTCAAATACAGATGCGTACACCGTGAAAATGAAGTGTCCCTCCTACTGGACTCCCAGTTTCTTGTCCACCTATTCAGGACTTTTATATATATTTTATATTATATATAATTAGCATATATACACATATAATTTTAATAAAAACGGGAGTATACTATAAATAGTAATTTATACCTTGCTTTATTCACTGCCCAACCTTTTTGAAATCTTTATATTTGAGTATATATAATTCAATGTTATTTGTTTTAAAAGTTTATTTTAGAATAGTTTTAGATATACAGAAAAATTGTGAAGATGGTAGAGAATTCCCATGGGTCCCACACCCCATTTCCCATTTTTACATCACATCGGATAGGCAGGGAGAGAAGGAGGAAGGAACAACAAATTTTGTTTCGGGGAGTGGGAGAGTGTTTTGTCTTGTCGCTTTCCTGTCAAAGTCCCCAGCATCACGGGACACCAGGTGGAAGTCCTGCTTATGGGATAGTATTTAACGATATTCATTGGTTCCAGCCTAGTTAGTTTCCACTCAGTTTCCCAATAATATGGAAACCGTGCTTTCCTAGAGCAAGCCCAGAATGTTACCGTCCGTCAGCATAAGCAAATGCTGAGCTTAGAGCCAGCACATCCAAAATAGCAGTACGTCCCTCCCATCTCCTCCCCCCGTAGGCTCCTGTCTCCTCCATCGGTGGCAGGGTCCTCATGGTCCCTGGAACTCTCCTGGGCCCACTTGGGTCTGCTCCACTCAGGGTATCCCCTACCACGGAGCTGATGGATTTATTGGAGGCAAGGGTTTTTAGTAACGTAGAAAATCAAACTGCTCATTCAGGACATTAGAATATACAAAGAACAGGAATTCCGGTCAAGATGGCAGAGTAGAATACTATATGTCAACTATAATTGAAAAAAAAAATTAAAATTAAAATTAAAAAAAAAAAAAAAAGAATATACAAAGAATAAAAATGCCTGACTCCACAAAAGACACTGAAACGTGTTTCCTGTCACAGCCACCTGCCTTTTCATTAGGATTCTGGGTTCTGTCTCATTAAACAGAAGGGTTGATTCAGTTGGGTCCATCTAATTATTCTTATTAAAATATGTAAGCATAATATTTTAATTGTAAATTAAAGTTGCATGCATGAATGAATCTGAATTCATTTTAATTTTATAATGGCCCAATGCCAAGGCTATTTTTATGGCGAAGATCCATCAGCTCGGCTACTGCTCTCCCAGGAATTCAAACCAACATGCAAATGGAACATGTTTAACTAACAAGGGAGACTCATGCTCCCTGTTCTCCTCTCTCGAGATTTATTACAGTAATAAAGCTATTTTAACAAGAGAGACTGCATTTGATTCTCACCCCCCAAATCTTAAAATATATATATATATATTTATATATATATATCAAACTTCTAGGCTGGCACTATCAGTTATGTAGAACTGAGATGTCACTCCCCGGTCATTTGAAGCTTGAACAAGGATGGTAAATAGGTCTCAATTCACGTGCCAACCTCATGAGTAATTAGTAATGTCTACTGTGGGTGCCTGTGCTTATACACACACTGTTCTAGATTCTAAAATGATCAGTGATATTGCATGCAGCCCTTCCATAGGCAGTTAGGTAGGGCCAGCATTATTTTCCACTAAACAACCAGCCACTAGGATATTTAAAGGTTCAGCCAAAACCTCTCCCACTTCTGATTGGCATAGAGGGCAGGGTGCTGCTGGGGTAGGCAGTGAGATAAAAATACCTTTTATAATTGAGGCTTTAGAAAAGCCTCTTCTTGACTCCTAAGCTGAGGCCTGAAGGATAAAGAGGAGTTAGCCAGCCCACGTGGTGTGAAGGAAGAGAGATTATTCCAGGCAGTGGGGAAAACATCTGCAAAAACCCAGAGCTTTCAAGACTCCCAAATCAGGAGTGAGAGGTGAGCTGGGTCGGGGGCAGGGCAGAGGACGAGCCTGGAGAAGGAAGCTAGGTCAGATCACGGAAGGCCTGAGAAACCACATTTTGGAGTTTTGACTTTGTTCTAAGAGCGATGTGTTAGAAGCCAGGATGTCATTCTGGCCACATGTAGAAAATGGGCTGATCTGTGGTAAACCGTAGTATATTGCTATATATCCAGAGTCTAGTCTGGTGGGCTTATTTCTTGCTGAGAGGTTCAAATAAATTTTTGAATATTATACCTCTTTCTCCCTACAGTATTTTTTTTCCTTTTCAGCTGAAGGACTTTCTAGTTTAAAATTCCTTAATGTTATATTATTATATCATTATATATAATAAAGGACTTTTGCCAGGTCAATAAAATGCTTTCTTTATGTAGTTGGTTAAAATTTGTGTCCACTGGACAATGGACCAGTGGTTACCAGAAGGGAGGGGGAAAAATAAAAATATTAAATGTTAAAAAAAATTAAAATTAAAATTAAATTTTAAAAATACATAAAAATAAAATAAAATTTGTGTCTAATAGTTCTTATTAACTGAGTTTATAATCAAAATCAAGATTAAACCAACCAAGCCTCCCGCCCCGAAAAAATTCTTCTAATTAGAAAAAAGTCTTTGTGGCTTTCATTGGTAGTTTTTTCCCCCCAAGAGAACAACTTTTGCAATGTGCCTTTGAAACAGTGCCAGAGATGGGGCGACCCCACTCCCTTGGCACAGCCTGTCCGGTGGTCAGGCCCATGCTGGTGCGTGAAGAATTCACCTTACCCAAAGGGGTCTGACCTCTGCCCTCGGCTACTGGGAGGTGTTCTCTAGGCCCCTGGAATGTCCTGCCTGACAGGAGTATCTTTGCCTGGGCTTGAGACACTGGACAGTCTAACAATGTGAAGATGATGGGGGCTTAGGGCCACACTGTATCAGTTGTGACCTCTGGAGGAACTGGAGACCCCAGGAGGAGTGAAGGCTAAAGGTCAGCTACACAGTAAAAAGTGAGCCCCAATAAAAACTCTGGACACCAAGGCTCAGGTAAGCTCCCCTGTATGCACTGTCGCACATCAATGCCGGGACAGTGACTCCATGGGAGAGGATACCCAGAAGCTCCGCAACTTTGCCCTGTGTGTCTCTTCCTTTGATTGGTTCTAAATGGTATCCTTTCTCTGAAAAACAAACAAACCCATAACCGTGAGCATAATAGCTCACAGTGAGTTCTGTGAGTTTTTCTTGTGCATTATCAAAACTGAAGATGGTTCTGGGAACCCCAGAACTTGTCATTAGTGTCAGAGTGAGGGCAATCACATGGGGACTTGCAGTTTGGCCAACTTCACAGAGCAGGTATTTCCTGAAGCCAGCAGCTTGGGCCCAGTGTTGTTTAGCACAGGGACAAGGAGAAAGTATGCCTGGCCTTGGTATTCTGGGGGTTACCTGTGCATGGGGGAAGTGGAGAGTCTGGGGGCATTGGCTGGAAAGGGACACAAGGTACTTTCCGAAGTGCTAAAAATATCTATACCTTGACCCAAATGGTGTTTGCAAAGGGGAATGCATACGAGAAAATCCAGAGCTATTAACATAAGATCAGGGCATTTTATGCATTTTACTATATATGTTGTAGCCAATTTTAAGAAGTTAAAAAAAAAAAAAAAAAAAAACTTTAAAAATGGTGGAGCCCAGCCTGGAATTAAAGGGTGGAAGTGAGCTGGACTTCTGAGGAGAACCTGAACCCAAAGATGGGGCTAAAAGAAAGGATGTGAAATCCAGCAAAGAAGTTTCTGGAAGGATTCTCTGAAATAGCTTGTTTACTGCTTTAAACTTAGACAAGCCAAAGTGAGGACCATGTGGCCTTGTGGCTGTATGTGTGTGTGCATGTGTGCACACGCGCATGCCCCCTAAAAAGTCCCTTCTGCCTCCGTTCGGTTTCATTAGGCTCACCTAGTGACAATGTGTGGGGTAGAACAGTAGGCAGGGTAGGACAAACGGGCACTTCTGAGGGGCAGCCACACAGCAAAGAGTTTATGTGGTAGTGGTCCTAGCCTCCCCAGTCACACAGAAGCTCAGGAAGCTGGGATTGGAGGCCTCAGGCCAGGCTGGGTTTGGGAAGGGACCGCCTTCTCTGATTATGTGACACTGAGCCCCGAGATAGATCCATGAAGCAACAAGCTGGATGAAACTGAAACGAATGGCAAACAGTGCCCCTGGGTTGTTACCAGAGATGGGGGAATTCGGGTATTAGCAAAGAGCAGAAAAGCAAGAATGCAGGCCAGAGGGAGACTAGTCAAAGTAAAGGGTGGGAGGCAGAGTCTGGGAGAGGGAATTCTGAGTCATGGAAAAACGTACTTGTATAAGCAATGGATGGGACTGAGCTGAAAGACAGCTCAGACACTGGAAGCAAAGAATGAGAGCCAGGACGCACTAACGCTGGGGAGCGGGCAGTGGGTACAGGAGGGTGAGTGTTTTGATCATTCATTAGCCCTCCACTAGGATGCCCTGCAGTATTGTGACTCGCCACCACAGATTTACAGTTAGTGAATAAAGAACTAACCTACAGTGAGTCAAAAATGCATGAATTATTTATTTTGGGGTTTGTAATGACATACCTCCTTCTGTTGTTCTGGAAACATCTTCAGCACAGGACACGATCAATCTGAAAAAATAAGATACCAACACTCGGTGATGTGGAACTTCCATCCTGGAGCAGATAAGCCTCGCAGGGCCTCCCGCCCAAATGTCCCCTGAGAGCACCTGCTCGCCCACAGTCTCTGAAAGGTAAAAACCTCTGCTGCTCCCTCCCTCCTGTCTGCTGCTGACCAGGCCAAGGCGAACATCAGTCCACCTCGGAGATGGGGAGTTTGGGACATGGCAAGTCCAAGGCGGCTGGATGATGACAGGCCCTTGAAGTGGAAGGCCAGGTTGGAGTTGCATGCAGCCTTGGTGAGTCAGAGGAGGCTGGAGGTGTGGGGGAGCAGAGGCACCGTGAGGGGCAGTGGGGGATGCTGCCTGGCAGATGGAGAACAGATGCCCACAGGGATCAACCACTACGAACAACCCTAACCGTTTCACTAGCAGCCCAGCCTTTCAAAGACCAGGTGGTTCTTGTGACATTTAAAGTACTCCAGAGTTTAGATAAGAAACGGTGTGGCCTCAAGAGAGATGAAGGTTGGGTCCTTGATTCTGACCTTCCGGTCAGTGCAGCCAGCCTGTCCTTGGAGCATTTTATCTCCCCAGCACACTGGGGAACCACAGCACACCTGGATGATCACCCACTGCAATCCACTCTCCTTCCCACTTATCTTCCTCATCAGAATGATTAAATCTCACAACCATCCCAAACGACAAGGATGATTTCTCAAACCTGCTCTTCGAGTTAGATTGAGCAGCCACAGGTAAAGGTGTATGAGTTGTCCCCGCACTGGAAAACATGGCAGCTTGGAGACTCGCCTGAGAGAATCATCGTGTGCCTTCACAGCTCTACCATCACCCTGAGAGTACAGTTTGCCAAAACTGCCTCCATTTTCCACTCTGGAATATTTCTTCTATAAATACAAAATGTCTGTGAAACTTGGTAGACTTCTACAGAGCAGGGGTGGGCAAAATATTTCTATAAAAGGCCAGACGCCAAATATTTGAGGCTCTGCATGTCATACAGTCTCTACTGCAACTATGCAAGCTGGCAATTTGTAGTGAGAAACCCCTACTGAGGATAAGTAACCAAATGAACATGGGTGATCCAGTAAAACTTTATCTACAAAAACAGGCGGCAGTAGTTTGCAGACCCTGCTTATGGAGCAATGAAGTATTGTGCTTTCAATCCTATTCCTTAATAAAGCCCCTTCTTAGATCCTAACAGGGAAAAATCTTTTGCAAAGCTAAACTTGATCCCTATACACATGGGCAGTCTCTCTCTGACAGGCAAACCACTGACCGAGCGAGGAGTGAGAAAGGATCACACACTTTTCCAATGGTGAAATAAGAAATAACAAGTATGGTTTATAATATTCTTTAAAATAAAAATGAAGGGAAGAGGATTAAGTAGCACAGTTTTGGGTTTTCCTACCATCCGGTGACCAAGGCTGATTAACCCAACCAACTTGTTAATCATGAAATGAGATCTGAATTTGTGTCAAAGCCACAAGGACATCCTAAACAAAATAAAACTGTTTAAATGGAAAATCTAGTTACTGACCCAGTCTAACAACATATAATTTCATAAACCAAATAGACACGTTTTTCTGTCAAGAGAGATCTCATGTGCTCAGAAGAAAGTGCAGGTGGATTCATAACTAACCTTACAGAGAGCGAGGCCCTTCTAAGAGAAAGGGGAGATAAGTGTAGTCTTATAAAGAACCTACTTTTGCATCTTTTCTTTGCTGTGTTAGAAGGAGTAGTGAAGCCTCAAACAAAATACGCTTAACCTCTTCTCCTTTCTGGAGGTATGGCTAGGTTCTAAGAGCTGGGGACTTGAGGCCTGAAAGCTGGGTGTGGAGGAAGCAAATAAACTTAAAAAGATACCATCTTTCTGCTATTTCTCTCCATGTCTCACCATGTTGCTTTAATATCGCTTTCTCCAAAGCATTTCACTTAGTCTGAGAACATCAAGACAACACATGGCATTTTTAATGTTGAAAAGACTCCAGTCTGAGACGATGGTGCTTAGAGGAAGGCATCAGTGACCAGGTTCATTTCCTATCACGATTCTGCCTCCAGAGAGGGCTATTTTATAAGAAAGTTAAAGATGAGCCTTGGTATTGAGGGGGGAAAAGAGCATGAGGTAGGAACTCAGTGAGCACTTGAGAGGGCCTACATAAGGGGTTGGCTGAATAGCCTGGGTCAGTCTCAGAGGTGTCTAAGAAGGTGTGAGGAGAGTGGTGGCTGCTTCCGGGGCACCCAGGAACTGTGTTCATTTGGGGTTCTCAAAAGCTTATCACCCAGCCTTCAAGAGGAGAACCTCCCCCCATCTGTACCCACTCCTCCAGGATGCACACAGGAGGGAGCTGTATTCTATCCACACCTGTCTCTCACCAGCTCACTGCCTAGCAGGGGAAAGGCTGGCCACGCCAGGGAGTCGTGTCCTGTGAAACAGTGAAATACCCTAGGGCACTGAAGGCCCCAAAGACTCCTCTGGGACACCCAGAGGAACTGGTCCCAGAACTATGGTTAATAAATGCCTCGCCACCCTCATATAAACATAAAAACAACAGAAAAGTTTGAGAAAATGATAGATACAACCAAACGAAAATTTAAACCTACTTACTGTATGTTTCAAAAGGAATTTCAAGGTAAATATCATATAATATGTATAATCTACATGGCAAAAAATTAATAGTTCTTAATTCATGAAAACCTCTTACAAATCCGTACCAAAGATTATTACTATAGAAAAGTAAGCAAAAGTTATCAATAGTCAATTCACAAAATAAAAACAATAAAGGTCAAACTCAACAACAAAAAAACCCAAAAATCTGATTAAAAAATGGGCAAAGGACTTGAATAGACATTTCTCCAAAGATAATATACAAATGGCCAAAAAGCATATGAAAAGATACTCAATATCACTATCATTAGGGAAATGCAAATCAAAATCACAATGAATTACCACCTCACATCCATCAAGATGGCTACTATCAAAAAAAACAGAAAATAAGTATTGGTAAGGATGTGGAGAAATTGGAACCTCTGTGCTCATGGGAATGTAAAATGGTGCAGATTCTGTAGAAAACAGTAGGGAGGTTCCTCAAAAAATTAAAAATACCATTACTATATACCCCAGTAATCCCACTTCTGGATATATATCCAAGAGAATTGAAAGCAGGATCTCGAAGAGAAAATATCAGCACACCCATGTTCACAGCAGCATTATTCACAACAGAAAAGAGGTGGAAGCGACCCAAATGCCCACAGGCAGACGAAGGGATAAGCAAAATGGTATGTATATACAGCCTTTAAAGAGAAGGAAATTCTGACATATGCTACAATATGGATGACCCCTGAGGATATTACTCTAAGTGAAATAATCCAGTCACAAAATACAAATACTTATGATTCCACTTATTTTTTAAAGTAGTCAGATTGATAGAAACAGAAAGCAGAATGGTAGTTTTGGAAGCTGGGGGAGGGGTTATCAGAGAGTTCTTGTTTAATGGGTACAGAGTTTGCTTTGCCAAATGAAAAAGATCCGCAAATCTTTAATACAACCATGTGAACTACTTAACACCATTGAACTGTACACTTGAAATAGGCAAGATGGTAAATTTTGTATGTTTCTTACCACAATTAAAAATAAAAATTTTTTAAAAGGTTAAATGTTTAACCCTCCTATAAACAGAAGTGCAAATAAAAGACACCATATTTGTGACTATTAAATGAGAATGTTTCTTTCATGATAATATCCAATGAGAAATGAGACTAAATGCTATTGGTAGAAATATAAGCTATTTCAGTGTTTCTGAAAGACAATTTGGCCACACGTTTCAAAAGCATTTTTCAATTGCTTATTTTTTCTTTGACTCAATTACTCCATGTCTGGGAACTTGACCTAGAAAAATCAGTCAGACATATGCAAAATTTTTTCATATGAAAGAATGTCCACAATGCAGTATCTTCAAAAAAATCAAATAAAATGGAACCCCAAACACCCATAAGTAGTAGATTAGAAAAAATGAATGATGGTAGAGCTGCATAATAGGACACCTTGTAGCTACTGCAAAACTGCATTATAGAAGAATATTAAATGATAGGGACTATTCAAGAAGTATTGTGAAGCTATTTTTTGAAAGTATGTTTTTATTTCTTTATTTATTTGAGAACTGGAACCTACACATGATGCGATAACAGTGGTCATTTCTGAGTGATGGGATTCTGATGGGTTTTTATCTCCTTCTTTTCTGGATTTTTCCGGAAGTTAACAATGCATTTGGTGCTTTTAAAGTCAGAAAACCATATACATTTTAAAAGAAAGTAAAACTTAATGTACTCAACTGCTTTTATTATTCCTTCCTCCCAAAAAACAAACAGCTAAGTTAATTTCACTTTGTTTGTTTCATTTCCTCCTAGGATGTTCAACAATTTTTTGATTAAAAAAAAAAAACACTAAGAGGAGGCAGATGGGATAAAAAGGGTCAAATATGTGTTGACAGAAAGAAATCTAACTATGGGCGGTGAACACACAATGACTATATATATACACCTTACTGTTAAATTGCACACCTGAAACTTACTGGATTTCGTTAACTAATGTCACCATAACAAAAAAAAAAGTCATTGATTTCTTACTTTCATCTTATAAGAATATGCCATCAGCAAAGTTACTTTAAATTCAGATTTTAATTTAGTGCCAGTTTTTCCCAGACCTGCTCTCAGTACTATCTATGTCCTCTGCACTGCACTGGGCAGGTCAGGTGGGGAGAGGGAGCATGGCCCTCCCAAATCTCCTCTAAGGGAGAAGCTCTTGGCTAGGGTCCTGCCAGAGGGGCAGCTCTACAATTAGCCCTGCTTTGTATCACCTTGGGCGGGGGGACCCTCCCCAGACACAGGTGACAGCATCATTGATGGGCAATGGACTACAGGGAAGCTAATCCACAGGTTAACCAGGTGCCTAAAGCATGTCCTGGCACGGAAAAAATGGAGGGCTGGGCTCTGGCTCCCTCC